CATGACAATGACCCAAAACATACCACCAAGGCAAGAAAGGAGTGGCTCAAGAAGAAGCACATTTAAGGTCAAGGAGTTGCCTAGCCAGTCTCCAGACCTTTAGTCCTATAGAAAATGTATGGAGGGAGCTGAAACTTCGATTTGCCAGGCGACAGCCAAGAAACTTTAAGGATTTAGAGAAGATCTGTAAAGAGGAGTGGACCAAAATCTCTCCTGAGATGTGTGCAAACCTGGTAACCAACTACAAGAAATGTCCTACCTCTGTGCTTGCAAACAAGGGTTTCTCCACCAAGTACTAAGTCATGTTTTGCTTGGGGATCAAATACTTATTTTACTAACTGCAACTCTATTTATAACATTTGTATCATGTGGTTTTTGGTTTATATTCTGTCTCTATCATTTAAAATTCACCTATGATAAAAAAATTATAGACCCTTTATTTCTTTGTAAGTGGGCAAACTTACATCTGCAGGGGATCATGTAATTATTTTCCCCACTGTATTAGTCAAGTCTTTCTATATTTGCTAATGCTTTAAGACCAGATCACCAGATGAAGATAAAAAGTCTAAAAAAGGAAACTAACACAGCCACCACATTTTAAGGATTGGTTTTTGGCAATCTCATATACGTTTTTGACAAATTCCAATCTGGCTTTATGCTTTGTGTCAGCAGTTGGGTCCTCCTGGGTCTCCTACCACAGCATCCCTTTTCATTCAAATTGCGATGTATAGTGCGAGCTGACACAGTTGTACCCAAAGCTTGAAGGTCAGCTTGCATTTGTCTGGAAGTTGGAGGTTCATTATCCACCATTCAACAATCCTTCGTTGCAATCTTTGATCAAGCGTTTCTTTTCTGTCTACACCCAGGGAGATTAGCTACAGTGCCATGGTGTGTAAACTTCTTGACAATGTTGCACTCAGTGGACACAGGATCTCTGGAAATGGACTTGAGATTGTCCATGTTTTTCCACAATTTTTGTTCTCAAATCCTCAGACAATTCTTTGCTGCTCTTTCTCTTCTCAAACTGACAGAAATGTCAGTTTTTCACCATTTTAACTGGTTGCCCATATGAATTCTCTTGTCAGCACCTGGTAATTGATACAAATAAGTTTATTTACAAATTACAGGAGCATCAGAAACTTGAAATGCAATTATTTTTTACAATTTTGAGAAGGTGCCAATTTTGTCTACTCCACTTTTGGGATTTTGCATGGAATGTGTCAGATTTAGCTTTTTGTTTATCCACTTTTTTGTGTCATACCAATAAAAACAAAAGAAATAAACATGAGAATGCCTAAACATTTGTAATTGCAACAATTTTCTGGACTAAGTGGTGAATTATCTTACAGAAATGCAGGGGTGCCAATATTTTTGGCCATGATTATAGTTGCGTTATGTGACAGCTGGATATCTATTATGAAAAAAGTACTTATGCATGCTATACATGGGTTGAATTCCGAACTAATTTTCGTTATAAAATGGGAAATTTTGTGCATTTTTGTAATCCAATGGTGCCACCATTAATTTCGAAATTCCACCAACCGAGCCTTCAACTTCACCTCATGTTGCTACAGAAAAGAATTTTCGTGGCCAAGAATTTTATTTTCTTTCCAGGTCACAGCTCATGCTCATTTCTTTTTCGTTTAGATTTCCCGCATGATTCTTCCATCATTGATTCGAAATTCGTTTGTTTTTCTAAAACTTTCCAACATGCCCGATTACTCAACTTCGATTGTCACACGAAAATCGGCTGTTTCTGTGACCCTAATGGTGCGAAATTCGAACGAAAATTCTTAGAAAAGATTTTCAAAAAAAAATTATTATGGAATTCGACTCATGTACGGCTGGCTTTAGATTGTGGTGTTTGTGTGTGTGTGTATATGGATGATGGCACTATAAAAACAAAAAGAAAAGGGATAATGTCAATTTAAACATTATGTATTTAGTATCACTTTAACCACTTGCCCTCCTGAGGATTTACCCCCCTTAATGACCAGGCCTCTCTTTGCTACTCGCCGCTGCACTAATTCAACTGATAATTGCGCGGCCATGCAATGCTGCACCCAGATAAAATTTACGTCCTTTTTTTCACACAAATAGAGCTTTCTTTCAGTGGTATTTGATCACCTGTGCCCTTTTTTTATTTTTCACGCTATAAACAAAAAAAGACCAAACATTTTGAAGAAAAACGATATTTTTTACTTTCAGCTGTAAAAAAATATATAGTAAACTCAAAGTTGGTTATAAATTTAGGCTAAAATGTATTCTGCTACATGTTTTTGGTAAAAAAAATCCCAATAAGTGTATATTGATTGCTGTGTGTGAAAGTTATAGCGTCTACAAACTATGGTATAGATACTGCAATTTACGCCATTTTTTTGCTATAACAGCGCTGCGCTAGTTTAACGGACAATTGCGCGGTCATGCAATACAGTACATAAATGAAATTTACATCCTTTTTTTCCCACAAATTGAGCTTTCTTTCAGTGGTATTTGATCACCTGTGCATTTTTTTTTTTTTTTTTTTTTTTTTTTTTTTTTTGCGCTATAAAAAAAAAAAAAAAAAAAAAGGCTGACCATTTTGAGGGAAAAAAAAACAATATTTTTGACTTTTTGCTATAAAACATGTCCAGTAAAAACAAATGTAAAAATCAAATTTAGTCATAAATTTCTGCCAAAATGCATTCTGCGACATGTCTTTGCTAAAAAAAAAAAAACCCAATAAGTGTAAATTAATTGGTTTACGTGAAAGTTATAGCGTTTACAAAAGGCGGGAAAGATACTGGGATTTTTTTTATACTAATAATGGCAGCGATCAGCGACTTATGGCAGGGACTGCGGTGGACATTCTGACACTGGGGGGGAACTGACTTGGGGTCACTGACATCCCCAGTGACCCCAATACAGTGATCAGTGCAAAAAAAAAAACAAAAAAAAACACTGACACTGTACTAATGGCACTGGGGAGGAAGGGTTTAACTTTATTTACTGAAAGGGTTAACTGTGTGAGGGGAGTGTTTTACTAGGGGGCTGTGTACTGCAGGGGAACACGCTGATCCGGAGAGAGAAACTCTTTTCTCTCCAGATCAGCTGCTCTGTACCCAGAGCTGAATGTCCAAGACGTTGGGCTATGGGAGTTGCCTCAGGCCTGGTGCTGGCAGTGAGTGGACTAGCGGAAGTCCAGATGCCAGGACACAGTTTCTGGTCGCCATGGCGACCTGGTGCCTGAAATTTGTCAACCCCCAACTTTTAATGTATACCTGAACTCAGATTGTAAACATTTTTCTATGTTAACCCCTTCACGCTTGAGGGTAAAGCAAATCTTAAAGCCTAAGCAAAATTTTACAACTTTGATGTGTTAGTAAAACCTTACATATCATCACAACTACTTTGTACATCCAGGTAAAATATATCTTGCTCTTTTTCAGGACAAATTGTGCTTTCATTTGGTGGTAAATGAAAGATATATCCCCTGATTTTTTTTTTTTTTCCATTTTCTTGGCCCAAAATAGAAAAAAAAAAAAAGTTTTATTAATTTTAGCTGTTTCTTGTTGCTACCATAACCTACCACCAAAGAACAACCAAAAATACATTTTCCAGCTCTTGACGATCACAGCAATACCATATATGTGTATGTTATTTGTTGTTTGTACTTGTAGTACAGCCCAGAAAAAATAGTGCTCATTTTGTTTTTCTACCTAAAACACACTGATACCAATTTAAAAAAAAATTAAATCCTGACCTTTTGACCCTGTCCTTGACCCAAACACTAACCCTGGCAATGAATTGAATCAAACCTTGATCTAGGTATTATTTTTTTTATTTTTTTTATATTTCATTTATTATTTATTTTTTGTCTCTGCAAGTAGAGAGAGAGCGATACAACGTATCTTTCTCCTCCATTCAGAGAAAAGAAAAAACAAGGGGGACAGGCTTCACAGTGACTGATCACTGACCAATCAGAGGCTATCCTAGCGACCATGTGACCCGGAATCAGCAGTCCCAGGTTCTGATCATTAGAACAGGACCCGGGTATCTTGGTGACACCCTGGTCTTTGTGCTGGGAGCGTGCTGTGCAATGCGCTCTTAGCACAAAGACAAGTCGCAAATGTGCGGCCCCACGGATAAGAGCCCAGTTCTGTGAGGCTGCATATTTGTGTTACATTGGTGCCAAGTGGTTAATAGAGAAAATCTGGAAGTGTTAAATCACATTTATAAAAATAAATTTTTTTTTCACCCCTCATGAGTTGGGCATTTTTTAATTTCTCTTGGAAATAGTGTACTTTCTGCCATGTGAGGGTGTTTGGCACTCCTGTGCCTACAGCCTCCATATAGCTAAATATCTGCAATGTGAGATTATCTAATGCATTGTTTCCCTTGTTTCAGTTGCAACATCCTTTTAAAAGTATGCAAAATCCCAAGTTACCCCAGTCTGAAATGTGAGAAACTTTAAATGTTAATTGCCAATGGGAAAAAGTGAGCCTGGCACAATGCATACAACCACCTTGATTAAATTAACATCACATCCCCCTATATGTTACAATTCCTCCAGTCCATTCTTTAAACCAACCTTTTAACTCCAGCAGCTCCGTAGAAGGTAGAGCAGGAATGGAAGAGCCAGGATTCTGTCCTCTGCTAAATGCTGTCTGTCCTAGATCAGCTTCATAAGTTGCCATGGTGCAGGCGTGCCAGCCACCCAACACAATAGCAGCAAATGGCCAGCCCACACAAAGGTAACACAAGGCACTGATCCACAGCAAACTTGGTCCTGTGTTTGCGGCACCCCAGTTGAGAAATACTGCTTTAGGGCACTGGTGTCAAAATTGCTAGTCTTAAGAGATTTGAAATGAGATTTGTTTGTCACTATATGCATCTTCTTGCTTTTTGCTTCATTTGTTCTGTGCATCTAAACCTAAAATGTAATAAGAGTACAAAGAAATTAGAAATGTCAACATAAATAATTCCTCCATGCTTGAATATATTATGCTTTATGATTTTAGTCTAACAAGTCAAGTAAATCGTCCGTGTCGTCCAGTGTCAACAAGAAAGCAACTTCTCTTGTTGGTGGAACACATTCATTTAAAGACATACCTGCTCAGACACAGCCAACCACAATGGTGGAAAATAGGATCCAGGAGATTGATGACAATTCTGGTAAGATTTATTATGTAGTTTTATTATAGCAGTACTTCTCAGTACCCCTTCCTTTTTGGTAACTTTGTTTTAACCAATGTGGTTGGTAAACAGAGCTATGTTTGTACGTGTGTGTGTGTGTGTTTTGTGTTTTTCCCAATTGTAAGCCATTGGTTCAGCCTGTGCGAATTATAATGTTGAAGTATAATTCCAGTCAAATTCTAACTAAGGCTAAATATACTCCCTGTTCTATCTACCTTGTAAAAGAAAATATCTTTTATACTTTTGTATATGTGTTAAAAAAAAAACAAACAGAAAACGCCCCATAAAACAAATGCCCACACAGACAAAAAAAACCCGAAACTAATTCTAATATGTAGCAGCCATCACTAAAGGTTACAATAGGAAAACTCCTGGAAAAAACAGTGCAGCGCTTTAAAGATATATCCCTGTGACGCAAACATAGATTTTACCTGTAAATAAACACCAAATATAAAAAAGAAATGAGAAAGGAACAACTCCAGTGTATAAGGTGTGACAGGTTTCACATGAATCATTATATCATGAATAAACAAATAGATAATACAATAATCAATCAATAGTGCTAAAATATACATGTGCCCAATTCATATAGTTTTTATATCCATTTAACAAGTCCCAGAGCGCAGCAAAACTTTTCCACTTTGTCACCAGCAGTCTGCAATCCTCCACTTCTATGCACTCACCAGAGGGATAAAATACAAAAGGTATGTATTCTAGCCAATGCTGTATGACCCAGATATTTATGTCACAGGGATATTTTAATCGCTTCACTGTTCTTTTTCCAGTATCACTAAGGATTATTGACATTACATCACCATCAGTAGTTCCCTACCTTAGACCCATCATAGAGCAGCAACACTATTGGTCAAGTCAGGAAGATCATCCGCACTATTGGGTTCAAAATGCATCCAATAAAGAAACGAGTGTGTCATTAGAGGAGAAAAACTCTCTGGATTGGATCACGATGGTTCATTTTCACCCACCCTGCCATCTGTTGCGTTTGTTATGCCAAGAAATATAATCTGGCATTGGCAACTGCCAGCCCACCACCATCCTTGGGAAGCTTTAAAGCACTTAAAATGATCCTGGCATTCCCATGTTTTCATATAAGTTTTTGAAAACATATTTGTCTAAACGTGTTGGGGTATCCAAACTGGGGAGGTGTGTAACGTATAAAGATGCTGGAGCATCCACACCACTGACAGTAGTAATCTACACCAAGCAGCATGGAAAGATATTTAGATGTTCTGCCACATTAAGAGATGCCTCCACTCCCAAATATTTCAAAGATGTTACCAGCTTTATTTGAGAAGTTGCTACTAGGAAGAGCTCTCTATTGGGATCTAGAATCATCACAAGCTTGTCCCAATTAATGGAAAACCCAAAGAATCTTTCTTCTGCAGTAATTGGGGAATTACTGCAATATGAGCGTGTGTGGGATCACCCGCGTACATCTTATCTTCCCCCAAAGATCTCTGAAAGCCCACTATTTGTGAGGACTGTTGAATAGCTGCAGCCAATGGTGCTAAGGCAAACAGCAGGGGAAACTGGTTCTGAAGGCCTCCCATTAACCTGTATAGGACCTCAGAAGATGCATATAGGAGTTTAAAGCAATTTTTAAAATATTTGCCAGAACGAAATTTTCATAATACCTTCGAAAGGCAATTCCATTCTTTACTATCAAAAGCCTTGGCTGCATCCAAGGAAAGTATTGCGTTGTTGCCCAAATTAATGGTCGAAGTTTGCAAACTTTTATAAACAAATGCTGAATATTGGAAGCCGTGGATCTAGTAGATGTAAAACCAGATAGATCCAGGTAAGGGTAGACAATTGATTGGCTAGTATTTTAGCTAAAACGTTCATGTTAGCCTTAAGTAGTGAAATTGAGTGATATGATTTCGGTTATAAGAAGTTTTTTATCTGGTTTTAACAATACAACTATCAAGGGTTCATTCATAGAATGCCGTAATGAGCCAACTTCAAATCCTTCAGTGAACACTGCCAAAAGGTCAGAGAGCAGAGATTCCTCCTAAGTTTTTTATATCTCTCTAGGCAACCTGTCGGCTTTTGGAGCCTTGTTATTAGGAATAAAGGCGACTGCTTTCTGCAGCTCCTCCAAGGTAATAGGGGAATCTAATAGGGAGCAATCCACCTCCAATAAAGTCAGTATAGTCAAAGAATCCAGAAATTGTTGTAGATCAGATATTTCATAGCATAAATTGGGCCTCATGCACACTGCTGCTCCTAAATATGAGTTCAGGAGCGTTGGCTTTTTTTTTTTTTTTTTTTTTACCCAAAGCCCCTGAACTCCATTCAAAAGTTTAACAGCAGCTGAGTGTAAGAATTATCAGGGAGTTATCTGACAGACCCATAGCAGATTATGCCACATTAATTATCAGGTAGATTATACCCAATGCTAAATCAATTCTCGACATAGACGTGTGTTCGAGAAAAGCACAAAAAACATTCCTCAGCCACCAAATATCATTTAGACCTATTTCTTGAAGAAAGTGAGCAAAATGGGTAAGGGAATTAAGAGTAGGGTGATCAACCACGTTATACTGGTCAAGTACAGGATTTGAATAATTATTAAAATCCCAGAGGGCCATGATAGGGAGATATGGTTTGTCCATCAAAAATTGCAGGAAGCCTTGAAGGACATCTGAGGAATACAGAGGAGGAACGTAAACATTAGCTTTTATACATGGTTGACAATAAAGAACACAATATAAAAATGTCATGCCCCAGATTATCCAGCTTGGCCTGTTTGCAGGCATAATCCACGTTATTGTCCAAGAGCACAACAAACAAAACACTGTTCTCTATAAAGGCTAAGGTGGTGAAGTTGGGGGTGGATGGATAAGAGGTCTAAATTGCAACGTGTATAGAGTCTTAAAATCCTGTGCTAGGTAACTAGCGTATGTCCACTGAAGATTTATTAGAAGTGACAAAAAGGAAATAGATATGCACTCACATTTTTTTTAAATCATAGGAGCATGTCAAGTTCTTTGTATCTACAGAGTTCAGCAGGGCAGCGGCCTGGAACAGCAGAGTAGTTGCTGGGCTGTTGCGCTACTCTGCTGTTCCCAACTGCTGCCCAGCCAAACTCTGCAGATACAGAAAACTTGACATGATCCTAAGATTTTAATGTGAGTGCATTTTTATTTCCTTTTTATCGCTTCTAATCTACGCTTAAATGGCGGTGTAATGGATGTGCGTACTGGGCACACAAATAGCTGTGTGTAGCAGCCATTTTGTTCATATCACACGTCTCCTATTCCAATTTGGCATAAGAAGGCATACCACCGAGACCTTTTCCTCTCTCCCCCTCCCTCCCTCATTTCAGCTCATACAATCCTCAAACGCTTAGCTGCTGCAGACAACCCTTATCAGTCTGGTAATAGGACTAACAGGATGTAAACCCCAATATACATTGGGTTTTAGAGATACCGCCCATCTGATGGTTTAGATTTCTTCTTCTTTAGAGCTGATGTGAGTTACTAAAACTTTTAAATGAAACAGGCCCTCTAAAATAGGCCTGTGTTGTACTGTATGCAAGCAGATTTTCACTTTAAGGTTCAAATTCTGTTTACCTCTCAAATTATAATGTACTGTTTTTTGTCTTTTTTTTTTATTCTCTCAAGGAATGCCACGTAGCACAAGTCTTGATGTTATACCATCAAAAGAAACAGATTTTTCTAAAACTCCAGATTTGAAATCTGTAGATTCATTTGGACGAAGTAGTTTAGGTGATATATTCTCTCCTGTCCGTGAAGGTAATGTCCTTTTCTGTGTGTATATATATTATAGCAATAAAATTAACATTTTTGAAAATATTTTGTAAATGTAATGAAATGTCTTTTGGAATTTTTTTTTTCAATGCACCAGGCATTGTATTTGATTGATTGCTTTAATTTGGACTTGAGGTTTAGAATGTTTTGTTTCTTGTATACGTATAGTTTAGTGTGTCTGTCTGTTTTTTTCCCTTTAAACAATAGCCTGTTTTTTCCCTTAAACAATTGCCTGTAAATGTAAAGTTCTTAATTCCCTTCCTGTTTTCCTAACCTTCAGTTTTAATATGTGGGTCCTTCTCCCAGAAAGATATACAGTGTGGCTTGGTGACAGCTGGTGGCTGGTTGCCACTGGAAGCTATTATGCCTCCACCTAATGGAGCCTGTGATCTCACATGTTTTACATGAGAAGCAACATTTTGATAAGTTTGTAAACTTCCCTGTTGGAAAGGGGTCAGACTTTTTTTTTTTTTTTTTTTTGTTTAAAGTCCCATTTAGAGATTAGGTATTCCATAACTAGAAAGTTAGTGACTTTTTGTTGTGTAAAGCTAAAGCAAAATACCCTTGTGCTCCATGCACACTAGCTTAGAATAACACTGCTCCTAGAAGAGGAGTTTAGCGTTTTTCCTGTAGAAGCAACTGTTCTCCTATGTTTCCATGCACATTTTAAGTCTAGAGGCATTTTTTTAAGCTTGGCGTTTAGAGGCAGAAAAAATCCCCTCACCTGTTCTGGCAGAAGAAAGCACTGAACTTCTAGTACAAAAAACTGAAATGTACAGCAATTACAAACCAAACCATTCTTCTCACATGAAATCAAAATGATAAAAAATAAACCTAGTAAAAAGTTGTTTAATGTTTTAACTTTAGATGCATCACACTTTAAAGGGATGGATGAGCTCACTTCTAAAGGAAATGGTATGTGGACTCGTTCTTACTTTACAATTTTCAAGTGCTTTACACTATTCTTTTTTTTTTTTTACAATTTTGTTTTTATTTCTTCCCTATTTTTGGTATTCATTTAGAATGCTCTTGCAAACAGAACCCTGTTAAAAAAAAACAATCTTTAGATATTTTGAACTTTTATAAAGAAATCTGTTACTAAGGGACTTAGAAAACTGGCAGCGTATTTTTTTACATGGGAGAGTAGGTTGTCTAAAGAAAAGATTGGTTAATTATTATTAAATTTATTTGCTGCTGGAAAATGTTGAATGATTTAACCGCTTCCCAACTGCGCTATAGCCGAAAGACGGCTACAGCGTGGTTGCCAATTTCTGGGAGGGCGTCCATGGACATCCTCCCAGAATGCTCCCCCAGCGGCGCGAATCCGGTGCTGTCGGTGATCGCTGTGCCCTATGGACTCAGCTGATCACATAAGATAAAAGGCCAATCACAGTGGCCTTTTACCACACGGTCAGCTGTGTCCAGTGACACAGCAAATCACAATGTAAATGCAGTTGCCGGTTATTGGCTGCACTTTCAGCGTGAGGAAAATCTTCCAATAACGGGCAAATGTGACAGGGGAGATCTGCACTAATAACGCCCTGATGATCAGTGCCGCCTATCCGTGCCCATCATTGCTGCATATCGGTGCATCATCAGTGCCTCATCAATTCCCAGTGCCTCCTCATTAGCACTGGCTCATCAGCGCTACCTATCGGTGCCCATCAGTGCTGCCTCATCGATACACATCAGTGAAGGAGAAAAATTACCTGTTTGCAAAATTTTATAATAGAAACAAAGAAAACTTTTTTTTTTTTTTTATATATATAAATTTTTTGCTTTTTTTTTTTTTTCATTTACAGTGGCGATTAAATGCCACCAAAAGAAAGCTCTATTTGTGTGATGAAATTATAAAAATTTCACATGGGTACAGTGTTGCATGCAAGTGCGACAGCGCTGAAAGCTGAAAAGTGGTCTGGGCAGGAAGGGGGGGGGGGGGGGGGGGGGGGTGGCGTCAAGTGCCTGGTAGGCAAGTGGTTAAACAATTTGGAGCCTGTGGGCGTGACGTTTGCTGTATTTAATAAGCTGACTCATGTTACTGATGGTGTTTTGTGGCCAAGTATGCTCCTGTATACTTGTGTGGCCAAGTATACTTGTGTGGCCAAGTATGCTCCTGGTGAGTATTCCAGTGAATTTAGTTGAAGGGGCTTTATAAATGTGATGAAACTGACAATCACTGATTTTGTTTTTTAAATATGCACACAAGACTGTAAATGCTTAAGTTTTTGTCTGATATCAGTTTGTCATTACTGTTTCTGTAGTTTTTTGATAATTTTAGTTTTATATTTGTCAAGGCTGTTTTTATTGTAGCTGACTTTATAGATGGTATATTCTTTTACATTTAGATCTTGATTACTTGGCTCAGTTGAATTCAGTGCCTGCCACAAGGCGACATCCTGTTGGTGCCAGTTCACAAGGAATGCATTCCTCTCCGTTGCACTTAATTATTGGAAGCCCAATTAAAGAAGAAGATGAGCCCCAAGATGTGGAGCTTAAAGCAAGAAGACCATATATTAAAAAGCCAGATTTAACAGAAAATTTTAAACCGGTAACACATAACAGCTTTTTTTTTTTTTTTTTTTTTTCACTTGTTTACTGCTTAAAGGAGAAGTACAGCCAAAGCTCTTTTGACTACTTCTGTGGATCACAGGAGTGCAGTTAGTCCTGCACTCCTGTGACCTGTTTCAGCTGACAGCAGGCTGAAGTCACTCAGCTGGTCCGGGCTAGGAAATTATCCTGAATTTAAAGTCTGTATCCACCCCAGAGTCTGGAGTGGCACCTGGCTCAGCCTCTCAGTGAGCCGCTGAGAGCTTGAGCCAGCCAATCCCTCCCCCTCCACAGCCCAGCGCTCCAGTTAGTGACAGTCACTGCTCTCTGCACACACTTGGTTCTCACACATAGAGCCAGCGGGGACAGATGCAGCACTATATTGATCTGCATCCACCTAGGGAAGTATAATCGAAGGAAAAAACCAAAACCCATACTTCTTTTAAGCCTTGTAAATAGGTTGTTGTGTTGTCACTAAAGGCATACCTGCTCTGTATTTTAGTAGATTTGATTTCCTTTCCTTTCTGCTAAGGACCATAACATTAGGAGGAGGTTAAGTCTAACAAGATAAATGCAATATTTTTCTTTGTCTTTATTCCCAGAAATATTATTCCACTTAGCATAGTGCAAAATAGGCATATAATGTTTTTTGCTTGAGAAAAAGATCAACCCATGGCCAGCCAAGGTCTTATTCGAATGTACCATTTCATGGTTATCCCTGTTTTGCCTGCTTGTGTTTTAAATGACCATTTGTTCAGTGAAAATTATAGATGTACTCTGTTCTACAAAACAAAAAAAATTCTCAGGTACCTCTGCCTGGCCCACTATCAGGTAAATGCCACATTCATTTTTGCATTAAAATAACATGTAATATTTATCGCAGAAGCACGCAATTCGACAAAAAAGTGTTAATTACCGCATTTTCCTTTTGGCAATATTTAGCACATATTTTTACATCTTATTTTATTGCAGGCTGTACCTCCCAGCGGCAACGGTATTATTACTGCTGCTAAATGTGACATCTCCAGCTCAGGAATACTGGTTGTCAGCCTATAACCAACGTGCTAACAACCAGCAACCTTCTGGACCATACCAGACCATATGCTGTCAACATGTGGGTGGGGTGGTGAGTTTCAATTCCAGACGGTGACTATGTCCTTGGGGTCTGGCACTGGTTCCTTCTCTAGCAGCTGCTCTGTGAGCCCAGCAGCAGCCATTTTCTTGGTGTCTGGCTCTGTTGTTCTCAGGGCTTTGGTGGGTGGTGATATAGCTGCCATTTTCTTCTAGCTGCGTGAAGGCCTTCCAGCTCCCGGCTTCTGTTCATCAGGATGGCTGTTCTCAGGCTTCCTGATCAGGCAGTGTGGGCTCCTTGTTACTCTTCAGCCTGCCTCTCCTGCTGGGGGACTGCTGACCTCTTTACTTTTCCCTGGTGTGGTTAGTCCTGGTGGGATATTCCTCCTCCCTGCTGGCCTAGTGTGCGATGTCCTTTCAGGGTTCCCTTGTGACCTTCCTTGGAGGTGCCTTCTCTGTGGGTCCCTTTTGGAGATGGAGTCTCAGGATCAAGTTTCCCCACCTGATGCCCCTCCTTGAGGCGGCAGCTCCCTTGGGGTCTTCTGTTCCCATTGACTCACTGACGTGGCTTTTTCTGTGCATAGTTTTTCGTCCCCCTGGATCTGCAGATAAGGGTTCCAAGCCCTGCAAGGCCCCCGCAGGTGGTACCAAGTGCCCCCTGGACTGCCAAGCCTGTCAAGTTCTACTCAGCATAAAGGTGCGCCCCCCCACTCCTGTCCAGGGCGGGGAATCATTTGTGCTGGTTTGAAGCCCCGTGAACCTCCTTGATTTCCAAAAAGTGGGTCCACGAGTTGATCCTTTTTGGGTACAAAATAGAATTTCAATCCTATCCTCCAGCTCCATACAATGCCTGCAGGTGAGCCGGAGAGAGGTGCAAGTTGGAGGTTTTTTTTTTTTTTTTTTTTTTTTTTTTTTTTTTTTTTTTTAAACCTCCAACTTGGTGCAAGTTGGAGGTTTTTTTTTTTTTTGCAAGTGTTTTGTTTTTTTTACCTTTCGCCAAGGGGATTTCCTGGTGCCGATCCCAACCTGTTTTTTTGTGTTTTTTGTGGTTGGAGAGGAGCATTGTCAGTTTGTGGCACTAACCTTTGGTCTTGCCTCTGCACAAAGGTGCTTGCTCCAGTTTTGGCTTTGCTGAGACAACAGGGGATTGCCGTGATTGGTTATCTGGACATCCTGCTTCTAAAAGCAGAGGCTCTCTCGGCTTTGGAGGACAACGTGGTGATCACAGGCAGCTCCTTGCAGGATTTCGGGTGGGTCTTGAATTTACAGAAATCCACTCTGATCCCAACCAGGAAGCTGGATTATCTGCGCTTGGTTCTGGACTTGGTGTTGGCCAAGGTGCTTCTTCCGCTGGACAAAATCCGGAAGCTTCAGTGAGCGGTTCAGCTGCTGCTGGCAAAGCAGGGATGAGAAACTAATACATCTCTTCGTAAAAGCAGCACTTTTACACACATTGCACATAGGCACAAAATTAGCCCCTGATCACGCTAGATGTTAACCCCTTCCCAGCTAGTGTCATTAGTACAGTGAGTGTATACTGTTATCACTGATCACTGTATTAATGTCACTGGTGATTTCAGAAAGCTCTATTAGTGTGAAAAATTATATAAATCTTGTTTTGGGTACAGCGTTGCATCACCGTGGAATTAAATTAAAGTAGTGCAGTGCGGTATAGCAAGAAATGGCCTGGTCATAAGGGGGTAAAAATCACTGGAGTTCAGGTGGTTATATAGATAGATAGCTATAGATCGATATAGATAGATATAGATATCTCTTGATCCGAATGGCTGTCCAGCTGATTGATCACTCCCTGTAAAAGTCATTGATTGGCTATCCAACTGTCCGACCACTTTTACAGGGCTTGGAAAGATGACTGGCTAGTAAAGCAGCCAATAAACCCAATCTTAGTTTTTTTTTTTTTTTTTTGGGAGGTCAGAGGAGACATCTGAGGAGACCCCAAATGTCTGCATAAATAGAACTTTCACTGCCCATGCTATCACAAGGGATGTTGTTCATTTCTTGTGATACAAATAAAGTTGATAAAGTTAACATGGGAAATTAAAAATAAACTCAGCTTACAGTGGTAATGCAGAGCAGTGACCTCATCCCCTCTGCTGGCTAGTGGAGAGGCCTGAAGACTAATATAATACGATATTTTAAGCATTGTCACATAGCAAGTTTTATGTACATATAATTCTTAATTTTTATTTTTTTATATAGTATTGCGCTGCATTTTTTGTATATTAGGCCTGAAGACTGGCACTCGGAAATTAGTGTGCTGTAAATTGTCTCCAGTATTGCTCCTGTTTCTTCCTGCTGGAGGCAGCCGTATTGAAGCTGAGAGGGGTCACTTATTGGAAAATCTTCACCTCTCCATGGTCCCAGCAACTGTCACGTTCTGTAATGAACATGTACATTTCCAGCCTTGACTGTATGTCTTGTCTTGGATAGAGGAATGTTAACAAAATTACAGTTCTGAAGTCCCTAGTGCTGTCCCTTGAGGGAGCAAGGGAGTTACAATAAGACACTATCCTTGTTTAAAGTGGAATTTCACCCCAAAGGGAAAGCTCTGCTTTATGTTCTCCTTCCTTTTGACACATTTTTTTTCTTTTCTTTTTTTTTTTTTGTTTTTATGAGGAGCATTTACCTAGTTTTGATGGGTTCAGCTTCTTTACCCACACCACAGCCTTCTGGGACATGTCACAGGTTTCAGAAGGCTGCGGGGCCATTCACAAAGTGCAGCGTGGCTCTGGCATGTGCAGTGGGAAGTCACAAGGGGTCACAACCAGCTTCCGTTAGTAAACATACTGGTGCCAGGGAACCAGAGACTGGCAAAGAGTGGCCTGGGTGAGGACAGTGCTGAATCCCTGCATGTCCTTTAAGTCAGCAGCTACAGTATATATATAGCTGATTAATTTTTTTTTTTTTTTTCTCTTGCTAGGGTGAAAATCTTAACTCCTTTCTGTCTCCCTGACATCAGAGTTTGTCCTGTCACCTCACCTGCTTTTTTTTTTCTCCCTCCCTAATTTTGTGTTTGCTGCACACAGTCTGTGCCACTCCTGTAGCTTTCTTCTCCATTCAGCAACAGGTAATCTTAAAGCTGTCAGCTGATTAGCCTCTAGTGGCTCTGACTTTTGCCATTGGTGCATTAGTTTCTTTCACCTGGTGATCCAGCCAGTAGGTCTGATATTTTTCAAGTTCCTTTAACAGACCAAGCTATCCAGCAAAATTGTCAGTTAAAAGGTTTATTCGTAACCATATTACACTGACAGGAATGCTTAAAATCGTCAGTTTTTATGTTTTCTTGTTCAAATAATTTATTATTTTAACATGGAACAGTACAAAATAATAAGCAAAAGTATGGGTCATTGAAGGTGTACATTAATTGCACAGTAAGAAACCCATAATACAAGGTCAGGCATCACTAATAAAGAGGACTATCAAATGGCAGTTAAGGCCTAACAGAATGGGGGAGGGGGGGGGGGATGGGAAGGGGCATAGGGCTGCACGGTAGGGGGAGAAGGGGGAAAACCGCAGTATGGTTAAGGAATGGTACCGTCAAAACAAAAGACGCAGATTATGGATTAAAAAGGGAGTCATCAAAATTGGATGGGAGGAAATGCTCTACCCAGGGATTCCAAATCTTCTTGAACTTAGGGATGGAATCTCGGATAGTGGCTTCTATTTTTGCGTGAATCATTGCCTGAGTGACCCTATTTGAAACTGCAGTCGTACTCAACGAGGGAGATTTCCATGATTTAGCGATAACCTGCTTGGCTGCGGTGGTGACTTGTAGAATGAGTTTGAAATGCGCCTTAGCGATGCCAGGTGGTCGCAGGTTAAGAAGCGCGATTAATGGATCGGGATAGAGGGTTACGGCACCGAGTGTAGATAATTTTTTAAAAAACCTCCACCCAAAATGCGTGGACG